CTTTATAAGACAAAAAAAAAAAAAAAAAAAAGTCGTCTCATTAGAAAACTATAGTGTGATTATACAAAATAAAGCCTGGACTTCCTGCAGAATTTCCTTTGGATTTTTTTGTTAAATTCAGGATTGAAGTTTTGTATTGTTCTACCTCTAGGAGTTGAATCTAGAACCATTCTTAAGATAGTAAAGACTTGCTTATTGTCAAAGCGTGTCAGGCGTCTGAATACATTTTCTCTACATAGTCTGCCTACTGGCAGTGTGTGTAAGAAATAAATGTGTGTCTTGTATGCTCTCTGGCACGGTTCCATAAATTGAGTTGTCTGGCGTGGGTGTGAGAACTTTTTATGTATTTTGAGAGCAAAAAAATGCCACTATCTGAAGACGAAAGCAATTTTAATCGCACAAATTTGTATTAAAAAATCTCTTGAATTGGCCAATCAGTGTACTTGTTAATTAGTTTGCTCATTTGAGCTGTGGAATAGATGCTGAAGGTGCCTTAAAGTGTTGGATTTTGCATGAGCTGGTGCTGTTTTAGTGGAAAAGGTGAAAGCACATGTGATTTCAACTTCCTTAAGAGCTTGCTGTCCTGATTTTCCTTTCAGCAAGAAAACCATCTGCTCTGCTTGTCACTTTTTTGAATGCTTGTTTTTATTACTTTCAATATTAACAAAGAGCCTTTAATAATGTTTAGGGCAGGCCTTTTAAAAATCCCACACTCCCCCTCATTTCACAAGAAATAAACCAGCCAGGACTTCTCCTTCTTTCATGGCATTTTTTTTAGGTGAAGGCTTTTCTCACATACATGGTAAACCTTGATAGAAAGCATTTAACAGTGTGCACTAACAAACTTGTACAACATATACATTACATATATATATTTATATATATAGAACATTCTATATACAAACATATACAACTTTTTAGCTCTCTACAGACTACGAGAAAATTTATAGTTATAGTCACAAGTGCTGAACATAACAGAAGGAGTCATTTGCAACTGTCTGAAAAGATGTAAAGTATGCAAGAGAGGAAAGCAAGATGCACCTGTGACCTCATGGGGGGCTTTTTAGAGAAAAAGATCCTCAAACAAAACAGGCAAAAACGTTTGGGCTAGGGGAAGATGCTAAATTCTTGTTGATTTGCTGTCAAGAGGAGATGCAAACTGTGAGCTACTGCCTGGCCTCCCTCCTCCCTGTGCAGCATGGCGTAAGCTAGAGCAAGTCATGTGTGGCGTAATGACTTGTTGAAGATGCGGGTCCCTCTGGGCGCACTGTAGCAGTTAATTATTAAATTGTTCTTGGGTTGGTGCAGCTGATGCAGGAGTGAGTGAGTGAGGCCAGAACACTATCGCTGCCTCGCAGAGAAACAAGCTGAGAAGTTACCCGGAACTACCTGTGTCAGCCCAGTCACTTACCATCACTGGAGTATTAACTGCTACCCAGCAGAGCGGGTCTCCCACTCCTCTGCCAGGTCTCTGGTTGCTGCAGCATTCCACTGGTACCAGTCGAGATGGTGAGCCTGGCACCAAACCCGGACCAGAGCTGTCCTCTTTATACTAGGTACAGACACTGGGGGTAAGGTACAGCTTGGAGCCTGGTAGAAGGACTTTCCTCAGTCTTTATGGCTGTGCTCCTGCCCTGCCCTTGGGAAGGGATAAAAGCTGTCTCCAGTCCTGCAGGGTGGTTAGGAAGAATGGGCTTTACCAGGGGTGGGTTTGGGAGGTGGACGTGTCTGCTGCGGGCAGTGGGGCCTTTGCTGCTAGGATTATTAGTGCTTTGGTGGCTCAGCCTGGAGCAAATGCACCACTCACAGTGGAGGTGACCATGCCATCATGCTGCTGTTGCTGCACTTCATAACAGGGTAGTTAGTTGTGGGATGTAGGTGCCAAGGAGCAGCTGGTTTCCCTCCAGCAAGCGAGGGCCAGGGAGACCATTCCCCACCCAGTCCATGAGCCTGGCCCCTGTAAGCCTGGTGGTCTGCCATGTGCTGGGCCACTAAGGCATTTGTTAAGCTCTGAGCACTGGAGCTGAGCAAAGCCCGGGCCTGTGTCCGTGCTGTCTTCAGTGCTCACTGTGTGACTGCTGTTGTTTTGTGGTGCAGGACATGCACCTGCTCGCCCAGCTCAGCTGTAACTGTTGGCTTGGCATTGCTCTTCTAAGCTGTGAAGAGACTTACCAAGGCTGCAGGGCACTGAATTCCTATCCAGGTCTAACAGGACTCTGACCTGAGCAGCCTGTCAGACCTAGGCTGTTTCCTTCAATCCCGCAGCCTGTGCAAGGGTGAGCCCTGCATTTGGGAGCCCAGTTAAATACCACAAAGGGCAATTTTCTCTTGTGAGCAGTGAAGAGCTGAGCAGGAGCAGAGGGTCTGGGAGTAAGCATGGGAGCCTGAGTGGTGCTTTTCATGGAGAGGCAGGATCTAGAACAGTGTCCTGAGGCCACCAGTGCCCTGTATAGACCTGTATGAAAGAAAGCACTGACTAGGCCTGACCCAGGCTCTGCATCAAAATTTTACAGCTGCACCTACCTAGGGGGGGCACCAGCCACTGCCCATCATTCAGGGAGGGTGAATGATGGGCTCCCCCCACTCCCTCCCTACTCGTGCATATGCCTGAAAGCAGGACCTGGGTGCCTCATATCTAAGCTGACTGTAGGCTCCACAGTTGACTCCCCCTGTGACTTCTGTGGACGTGCTGATGGTGCAGAGGGTTTTAACAGAGCAGGAGCAAGAGGAGCCAAAGAGCAGGTGCTCTGTTCATGCACCAATGATAAAATGCTACAGGAGACCCAGGCTGGATGTGCACAATAAGGGGGAGGAAGAGCCCCCCAGTAGAATCAGGGAGTCACTCACTGCAGTGCCACCTGCTTGCCTTTCCTCATCCAAACAAGAGGCCAAGTTCCCCACTGTCTTGCTGGCTGTGCTGGTGAGGGGCCCTACTGCTGACTCAGGCTCCTCAGTGCTGTGCTTCCCGTGGCAGGGTGAGTGGTGCAGAGCCAGGCAAGCCAGGGGAGGAAGTGGTCTGTGCACAATTCAGTCTGCAGGGCTTTGCAGATGCCTCTTAGCTGCTTTGTTCTGTATCCAGCTGGCTTTAAATTGGGTTACCCGGCAATTTCCTAAGCATCATCTGAGTATAGCTTAACTTCCCTGCAAGCTGCTGAGCGGCTGCAGCCTATTGGATTTGACAGGACTCAGCAGCTTGTAGCACCACACCCTCTAGTTCCTCCAGCCGGAGCAGAAATTACTTCCTAATCATCTCTTCTGCTTCTCAGCCTGACTAACAAGGCAACCAAGTGATTCAGAAGCTCCTGGGGTGAGAACTGCCACAGCCCCCTGCAAGTATAACTGCGATAAATCCAGCCAGCAAGAACCCTGGCTCTGCACAATGGCAATGCCTGCACCCTCCAGGCTGCAAAGATGCTGTGAACTCAAGCTCAGGTGACATCCCAAGTGGGGCCTTTCTAGACACCGAACAAAGCAATGTGTTGGCCGTAGGGTTTTGATGCTGGTTTATTTTTCTGCTAGGAATTAAACAGCACTGCTGGCTGCACGCTAAGGTTCGCCAAGGGAAAAAAACAGCAGCAAATGAGAAAATGCAGCTCACCTCGTGTTTCTATTGAGAGCAGCAGCAGCCATGCTCCAAGTGTACTGGTTGTTTGAACTGTGGTTTTTAAAAATAAAGATTTTTGCTGTTTTAAGTATTTTTTGCTCAGAAGAAATAAATCCCATTTTTTCTTAGGTCACAACATGCTTTCTTTTTCTGTTTTGTTTTTTTTCTTTTAAGATGTCAATTCGTCATGCAAATTTTTATTTGTTTTTATAAGTGCATTAACATTCTAGTTTGTACAAGGTATTTTTAACCAGAGATTCTCCCCAAAGTTCGTAGCTAGAGTTTCTGAAAAACTACATGCCAAAGTGACTGTTGAGTTTCTTTTGGAAAAAAAGACTACCTACACCATGTGTTTGGACTAAATACCATTGAAGGCTCCATCTTGCAGATGGTAAAACTTCTCCTCGACCCCCAGGGGTGGTGAATCTGATGAGTAACAGGAAAAAGTTTTCTAGGAGAAAGTTTTGCTTCTGTCCAATGACTGACATTGTTGGGAGTAAGCTCCGTATCCCCAAACAGTGTTCTTACCCAGGCCAGGTGCAGCTTCATGGCAAATCTAAAACTGGTACCATTTCTTGTCCTTGTATTTCAGCATCAGCTAGAGATGGGATATAAGCAAAATGACAGTGAGCTGTGAGCACTTGCTCTGCAGGTGATCCGGTTTGTACCAAGTTATTCTGTGCTATAACCCCACCACTGTAGGGGAACTCTACCACTCCAGAGTGAGGTTGATTAATTGCCGCAGCTTTCATAATGTGATTGCCACTGCGAAAGCACCACAGCAGCATACTTTTCTGCTGTGAAATACTTACCTTGCACCCAAAGGCTGCTTTAACTTTCTGTTACGCCTCTGCAAAGAATGTCATTTACCCATCATTTTTCACTGGAGAGATGCTTCTTGGGAATTTCTCTTACAGATCTGTGCTTTTTACATCAGACTAAATAGGAACTGCTAAAGACTTGCTGTTTGCTACTCCCTGGCACTGGTATACACTAGATGTGTCCTATCATCTGCCAATATGAGCTCTCTTTCTTTCTCTTTCTATTTTACAGTGATTATCCCGTCAGAGCACTTTTCCCTCACAATGACAACAGCCAATAGGAATAAAACAAAAGCTCTTTCCTGGTGGGGGTCAGCTAGCTGGACCAATGGTTGGAAAGCCAGAATTCCAGATAACTATGCTTTAATAGTCTTTTACCTAAGTCAGATTGTTTCTGCTGACAGCTAGCCCTAGGCAAGACTGGATGTTGGCGCTCCACCTTTTTAAACGGTTCCAACAGCTGCATGCTAACCTGGCCTGCTTGGTGCAAACCAGGTTATCATGACCATGCTCTAGCAGGGTCTGACACCCAGGTCCCTTTGCCTGCTTATTTGTCCCAGGCTCCTTCCCTGCACGCTGGCCTCATCCATCCTAGCTTCCCCTCTTTTGATGGAGGAGATCTTCTACCACACATGGCCTCTTTGACATGTGTTTAGAACTGATAGTAACTTTGGCTCTTAAGCTTCCCATAACTGAGCATTTGGCAGTAATCTAAGCCCTCAGAGACGGTAATGAAATGGCCCTCCTCTTCCATTGCTCCTATTAGACACAAGGCTCAAGAGCTGTCCACTAGAGAGGTGCTGGGTTTCCTGTGTTGGCAGGAGGTACACAGTGAGGGGTCAATGAATAGTGGGAACAGACATCTTAATGGCAGGCACTTTGTGCCCTCACTTTGACTGAGAAAATAAGATCCAGAAGCAGTTCTGGAGGAGAAATGCTTATGAAGAAAACTTCCCAAGTGTGGCGAGAGCATAAGCAGAGCAGAAACACCTGCCTGAATTTGCAGAGCCTGACCTCGCCCTGAGGTAGGCAGTGCCCCAGGCTGAGTGCTAACTGCTTAGAAAAGACCAAGAGAGAGGAGAGACAGTGTCTAAGACAGAAATGTTGCCCCAGAATTCCCCATCATCTTGGGGATGGGGGCAGAATTAGGTGGAAGGGCTGCAGAAAGGCAGTGGGCTGCGATTGCTATAATGTTCCCGAAGTGGGAGCAATCTTCAGGGGCTTCTGGTCTGGGGCAGGGCCTTGGGATGTGCACAGGCCAAGGATGCCTACCTCATGGGCGTGCTTGGAGAAGGCCTCCGCGCTGACCATCAGGCTCGCTGTCTTCTCATCCAGCTCTCCCAGCCGCTGGCCTCGCTCCTCAAGGGCAACGCGTGCACGAGCCAGGTCTCCGACTACCCCACCGGCAGCACCTTTCATTCCTTCAATCCCGCCTGACCCAGGGATGTGCTGGGCGAGGCTCCGGGAGGCTTTCCCAGCGGTTGCCTCACCAACTGCAATGGAGACAGACACTCAGGCAGAGACAAGGGAATGTCCTCTTCCCTCTGCACTGGGCTGAAGCACTCCGTTACATTGCTGCTGACTGGCAGACCGACCCTTGTGGTTCAGCCAGGCATGTGAAGACCCCCTACTCCTGCAGTGGGCCCAGCCAACTGGCCAGGTGCCCCTCCTGTTAAGGAAGGAGATGTGTTTGGGCAGAGAGAAACAAAATGTTCTTCAGCACTTTTTCTTCTAGCATGGCCTGTGGGGGCTCCTAAAAAATTTAGAAAATTAATATTTCTCTGCCCTTGGATCCGGTCAGAAATGACAGGAACCAGGGGCAATAGGACCCAGGGGAAGCCTGGCAGGCTCCCACAACAGCAGGGCCTGCCCAGCTCCGCCCCCACAGCCTGGGCTCAGTTGCTGCATCCTGCCGGAATATCAGGTAAGGGGGAAAGTGGGGGGGAAGAGCAGGGAAGGAGCCTGGGGAAAAGTGGCCCAGGGAAAAGCTGAGTAGTGTGTGGGAAGAGCGGCTCCTTGCCCACCCCATGCCCAGCGCCCTGC